ATGAAGTTTGAACTCGATCAATCCAAGCATGTCTCAGATACGGATTCAGAACTGAATTCTTTAAAACAAAATGGCCGCCAGTCGGCCATTTCGAACCCGATCCCCCCAAAAAAAATGACGTGCATCAAGGTCCTATTATGTTTAATGTATGTACCAAATTTGAACAAAATCCGTCCATGCATAACTGAGATCCGGGTCCGGAATGGTGAAAATGTGCGATTTTGATGCATTTTCGGCCTTAAAATGGCCGCTATTCGGCTATCGTTAATCGGATCATGAAAAAAATGCATGTGCATATGTCCCATATAATGTGTGATGTATGAGTGAAGCTTGAACTTAATCGGTCCGTGCATGTTCGAGATACAGGTGATCACGGACGGACGGACGCACGGACGGACGGACGGACGCACACAGGGCAAAACATAAGTCCTCGTTTTCAGACTGCGTCTGAACGGGGACTAAAAATGACCGCCAGTCAGCCATTTTGAATCCGATCTGAAAAATAAAATTGATTGCATCAACGCCCCATAATGTCTAATGTATATACCGTAAAATCTGTATTACAAGCTGCATCCCTAATAGAAGTCGCACCCATTCTTTTTGAATAATTGAGAACAAAAAATTCATCATTTCTCATACGTGTAGATGCTCTAATAGAAGTCACATTTCCTCTGTTGCATTGTACCATTTTAATAGAAGCCGCGGTTTCTAATACAGATTTTACAGTAACAAGTTTGAACAAAATCCATCTGTAAACAGCTGAGAAATGCTTAAAGTGCCGGTGCAATGCCCACCCTCACGTTTCCCATTTTAGATCTGTGTCCCACTGAAATGGGCAGTTAATGATTTTTTTGCTGAAAATGATTACTCGTATCCAAGTAAATTTGGGATATTTCTCGTGTTGTAGCCACGCCCACCTATCCTGAAACGGTCGACAGTTTCCGGATTTCCGACTCTCGCCGAAAGTGCGCCACCAAATGACAAAATGTGAGAGGAAGTCATACCCCTGAGCCATAATAACACTGGTCATTTAGTATACATTTGTACTTTTAAACGATATACATTTTTCGGTCTATTTTATTTTTTTTGAGAGGGAGTTTTTTAATGTTGTGTTGTGGGCAGTTGCAGTGAAACGTATAGTCATAGTGTAAGTATTCATACGTTTCTAATCGATCCGAAGGTGCGACATCAGTGGATGAAAGTCACTTAACCTCAGATTCTTTTTTTTGTTGAAAAAACTGTCCTCGTTCATGAAAAAACAACTAGGTTTAAAGAGAAACGCCGACAATGTTAACCTGGCACAACACTTTTGAAATAAATAGATTCCGGACCAGCAATGATCACCGAGGCGGATTTCAGAAGAGAGAGAGAAGTGTTTCAAATGAGTTTTTTTGCGATCCTGATTATCGTTTTATAGAGACCATTTAGTCCCTGTTTTGACAGTGACACGAAAATGAAGCATCGGACAAACAGGAAATTACATAGCCTTACACACTGCTAATTGTTTTCATTTTCGAAGGCTAAAAGTTTCTGAATTGTTTGGTGATTGGTGTTGAATGTCGAATTCACACCTCTATTCTTTTTTTACCTCCATGCTTGCAGCTTGATCTGCGTAATAATTTATAAAATAAGAATCCACCACCAAGTAAAGTGTTAATATGATGTTATAATTATGACAATCACGCCATGGATCATGCTAACTCGAGTCCACTCTGAATTTATCTGTATGTGTGTCGATCTCGATTATTTTTGTTATCCAATTAAACGCCACTTTTAAACGCTCTTGCCCTCGTCGTGACCCGACGCGTTCACCTATTTCAACAAAATGTCAATTTATTTCCACGCGGCTGTCATTTATTTAGTAACTGTGATTGGTCATTTTTCACTATAGTCTAATGTTTAGAATGTTCTCTTTTATTTTAATTGAAATAAAACAGTGTAGTGACGTGCCTAGTAACCTGCTAAATAACGAGATAATTCTGACGTCAAATTCTATTTTGTCCAGCGACAGTGTACAAACGTGCGCCGGTGTCGGTGACGATCACGGTGACCAGCTACACCAGAACGGACATATTTCGCATCTAACTCAACCCCATGTAACAAAAATTGATACTATGTGTTAATTATGGTCCATTCTTCCTCGACGAACAAGTACATAAGAGACAATTTAGTCAAAGACGAGAAAACTGCACAAGAAATTTGCCTTATTTAGACTTATCGGCAATGCAAGCTGCCATGCGACTTCCCCTTCTGATGTCACAAGGGGAATTTCTGTATGCAAATGAGAAGCTAATGAGGAACCTCGTTTTAAAATACACAAAAATAAAGTTGCCGTAGACTGAGTTTAAAACACTTTTTCACTTAAAAAAATAATTCATGCTTAGAAACATAAAAAATAATAATATTTATGTATCAATGGATAATTTTAGGCGTGAAAATAGCAGCCATTTCACATGCACTTTAATTATGATGATTTTTTAGCACAAAAATGGCCGCCATTCGGCCATCTTGAATCAGATTGTGAAACAAATTGATGTGCACATGTATAATATCATGTATGATGTATGTGTGAAGTTTGATTATGATTTGTCCAGGCATTTCTATGATACATGTCCGGACGCACGCACAGATGCATGGACACACAAAGGTCAAAACAAAAGTCTAATAAGTTTGCGTAATAATTATGAAAGCAATACATTACAACGTTGAAATACTCAGAGCGGGTAAATTTGCTTAATTAGAAAAGCAGCGCACTAAGTAAATGATATTGAAATAAGTATTCAAAACCAGTACAGAGTTATAAGTTGCGTAATTACAGTACCGGCCAATATAACAATTTTACTAGATCGATGTGCGCTGCATGAAAGAAAAAGGTTGTTAAGGTAACGCGCCCGTTCAGCACGTGACTTGGTGCCAAACTTCAGTTTGAAAAAAACAAGATGTATGCCGGTTGGCAATCTTTGATCTGATTATGAAACAAACTGACACAAACATGTATGATGTATGTGCCAAATATGAATGAAAATGGTCCATAAGCCTTGGAGATATAATAGTATGGTCCAAAATCAAGATGGTCACCAGTAAGCCATTTTTGATCTGATTGTAAAACAAATGGTAATGGACATATAATCTATTTTGTGTATTTATGTATTTTAACAAAAAATGACAAAGCATGCATAAGATACCACATTTTCAAAAAAAAAAAAATGACTGCCAGTCGGCCATCTTTATCACAAAACGAATCCTCATACACCGTAGACATGTATCCTAACACAATGTATGTACAAAATTTGAACAAAAACTGACAAAGCATGCATAAGATACCACAGGGTTCTGAAATATGACTTTGGACAGATGGAGATTGAATTATAAGTCCCTATTACAAATTTTGTTCTAACAGAGACTAATAATGGCTGCCAGTCGGCCATTTGGATCGAATCGCTGAACCACTGCATGGGAATATTTCTCACATAAAGTACTAGGCCCATGTGAAGAGGGTCCAAAGGATTCTGAAATATGACGAATGGACAGACTAATAGAGACTGAATTATATAAGTGCAGGGACTGATAATGTTACATAGTGAATAAATGAATCATAGTTAAATATGGCTAACATGTCACTGTTTTCACATACATAAAAGGTGGCTTTATTTTAGCTATTCGCATAGCTTGACTACACACATTTTAGCTTGTTTGCATCACATCACTAACTGAATATGGCTAGCTTGTACTACACAGGGTGATACATCAATAACCATAAAAGGAAACAGCCTAATTAATATTCCTCCACACACAGTCATCATATATTGACTGGTTGATAAAGGCAGTCTCCGCTGTCTAACCAGGGTGTAGCTGCAGCACTCGCTGCCTATACCTTCCAGTTGCAGTCATGCTGCAATCTGCCATTCCATTTTAACATCACGTAGTTATGCTGCACCAACCAAATTTTTCAGTCTTATTCTAGTTTGTATTTTAGTCTAGAAATGCTAAGCCAGCTAGTTTACACCTGGTTTGTACAACATTTTGAGGGCTGCACCATTTTCTGTCCAAATAGTGATACCATCATGAAGTGTAATAACATTATTTTCTATATTTAGATCAGTAATAATGTTTGAATAAACTAACCTGAATGGAGTCTTTTGGTCTGATAATAAGTTTACCATATTTCTTAAGTAAGGAATCACCTTGGTACGGACTTTAAAAAAGACAAGAAGAGACGGTTAAAATACCAAATAATATTGTGCTTATCATAAATATTTCTAGACAGTATAGTAACTTACCTATCTAGTAAGGAATCAAAACATGTGATTGCATTATCTCTTTGTACAGCCATCACAATACAGGCACCTTGACACAGTACTTCAGCCTGTAAAAACAAATAAGTCAAAGTGAAAGACTATATTTGCATACTTTTTTTTAAAATATTTATTTTTTATTTTTCACACAATATTATTATAATAGTGTACATACACTGAAAAACTGAAATGAAAACATGACTGAAATGTTGAATATTGTGGCGTTTTCCATTTTGAACCTTTCAATGCCGGCTATCATGTTTTGTTTGTACCATTTTAATAAAAAATAACCTCAAACATTTTCAATCAGTTTACTACTTTGATATTTATAAAACTGAGCAGCATTGACTGCTGGCAGTGAATGAGTGGCTACCCATTAATCCATATCCTAAGTGGCTCACATTTCTGATAATGATATACCGGATTCAGCTGATACCCGCCCATTCTAAACTTCGCCGATGGGTGATGTTTCAAATAGTGGGCGATGTTTTGGTCCACACATTGCCTGACTGAACCAACAAACATTTTTACAGACCCCAATTTTCCCGTCCGAAATCAAATATGACGCTAAAAATAATTCACTGTGAAGTCGAAAAACATAAAACTCCAATAAATCCAATGCTGTATTCGAATTGTTGTTGCGTATTATGACTCGTTAATACATTTCACTTACGTTTATTAAACTTGAATAAAGTCTACGCTTGAAAAGAATGCTATTTAGTTTAAAATAGCCAAGACTTCCTGATTTGAGCTGAGCTTCTTGGTTGATTTAACAACGGTAGGTATCAGTAATGTTCAATCTTTGTCTGTATTCCAGACAAAAAGTTCAAGATCGGTAAACAAGAAATGGGCGAACTAAATTGTCTCCTGCGTTTCACATGCGGCGTGACGTTCCCTTTCAGTTAACTCTTTGCGTTCATGGTATTTGTGAGAGTTGAAAGATTTTTTGAACAAATGACAAGTAACTATATTGATTTGTGTCAAGCTGGGTGGCCCGAATTTAAATATCAGTGCGTGATCTCTGGAGATCATTGCCCAATGCCGCAAGTAATTTAAACACGTAGTTATTAGAGTTCAGTCGAAATGTACGCGAATAATGCGATCGAAGTGCGCTGCCCAGAGTTTATTATATTATAGTAAAATTTAACTTGACGCATGGTATGGTTTATATTACATGTTCACTTCATTTCAAATAAAATAATTCACCATTGGAACATCGATGAATCACAAGTATTTAAAATATTTTATTGAATTTCCGTAGATACTTGACTACTATCCTTTTTAATGATTTGAATGCGCCCATGTTTATGTTTGCGTAATTATTACGAATGCAACGCATTATCAAGTCGGTAATATTGAAATATTCACAGACCCAATATCCCGGGTCAGTGGCCTAACAACAGTAAAAAATAACTTGAGTTTGCGTAATCAGCCGGTACAATATTGTAAACAAATTTGCGTAATTAGAAAAGCAGTGCACTAAGTAAATGACGTTGATATATTCAAAGCCAGTACAGAGTTGCATACAAGTTGCGCAATTACAGTACCGTCGGATATAATAATTTTACTAGATCGACGCACGGAGCACATTTCAATTAAAGAACTAAAGACATCATTAGAAAATGGACAATATGTATAGTATCAAAGCAATCAGACTTACAGTTTTTAACAAGAAGTCGAAAATATCACTTTCTACCAAAAATGACAAAAATATTCACCAAAATTAGAGAATTGAAGATATCATCACAAAATGAACAAATCTGAGAGAGATCCACATGTAGTACCTATATATGTAATATCAAAGCAATTGCACTTGCGGTTTTTAACAAGAAGTCGAAAATATCACTTTTTACCAAAAATGACAAAAATATTCACCAAAATTAGAGACTTGAAGATATCAACATGAAATGAACAAACCTCAGAGAGGTCTACCCAAAGTACATATACACCAAGTATCAAAGCATTCAGGCTTGTAGTTTTCAAGAAGAAGTCAAAAAAGTAAAACATTGACATGGACGACGACGACGGACAATCACTCATATGATAAGCTCCGCTCGACAAAGTCGACAGCGGAGCTAAAAAGTTGCTAAGGTAACGTGCCAGTTCAGTTCAGTTGCGTCCCAAAATGATGTCGCTGATCACTCAGTTGTCGCAGCGTGTGTTGTGTCATGTCCATGATACACCCAGTTTCGACTTTGAGACCATTTTTATCAATGCAGGGTTATTTTTCCAGACTAGATGCGCTTCGTAATATCTGCCATAACATCACCCGGACGATCTTTTGGTCCCCATTTTAAAAAAAAAAAAATCAAATCCTCCATAAGATCGCCCAGGGCGGGGTATCAGCCGAATCCGGTAATAATATTTTGCCTCTGTTTAAGGCCAATATATGTGCATACTATGATGCATATGTGCTCTTTTGTAGGAAGTCTGTCTCTAAATATAATAACAAGACAGAACATGTAATGTGTTTATTATATCTTACCATATGAGGGTTTGTGAGTGATGAGATCTTTAATAAATACTGCGCTTGTTGTAATGTTAACCATACCATTCGTAATCCAACTATATCAAAACCCATTGATAACATTCCATCAATAATCTGAACATAACCTTTACGCGTTTTACTTGTTGATAAAAGTAACTGTGACATGAACACAAGACAGTTGGTCTGGCTTAGTTTACTAAGAATTGGTAGTAAATGACTTTTTGTAGTACTTGTACCTGCAAAATAGGGGTAAACAAAATATTATATATATATATATTTTGCCTTTGTACAAAATTTGAGAACAAGCCTTGTTCTGAACTATGTGTTATTATGGCCATGGTTAATGCTGACAAGAACAGACATGGTAATGACAACACCTGGCATTCATTATTATTACAGACATGAAAATAAACAGTCAGAATATCTTACCCATACTTCTAGTAGTTGTTGGGGAAGTATCTTCACCATTCATTGAGCTACCATTAACACATTCTGTACTACTTTTTATTTCAAATTTATGCTGGGAATTCATTCCGTCATCAACAATAGGATCATGAGCTGGACACATAATCTGCAAGATAATATGAGTGACTGGTAGATAATGGAAATGCTGTCTGAGAAACATCTGAACATGTGCATACTTCACAAACATTCTGTCCTATATTTTGCACTTATTTCCTATAATTAGTAACACATACACTTCCATAAATTACAGAGGTGTTTTTATGGTCAAAATAGGTTAATAATTTAAAGTTTCAGTATACAAATCTGTTTTGGTTTATATGTGCTTCTATTTAATCACAATGTTATTGGCTTTTTATATAATCTCATAATATTTTTTCTTAGGTTGATGTCAGCATACATGAGTGATTACTGCCACAATTTTGAATCAATCTGAGTCACAGACAAGAATTGATGCCACTCAGTGTGTCTGCTAGCATCAATCTGAAAAAAAATATTATGGGATTATATATTTATCACATGAATATTCCCGCAGTCCAAAAAAGTTAAAGGGGAACTGCTCAATCCCATGGATTGCACCAAAGAATTATGGGACACTATTGTTTATGTTGTTTACAATGTTAATCTATCTTTTGTTATCCATTGTTATTTTAATCCAGGAAGTAAATTTGTTGTGAGATTAGGCTTAACTGGAAGGTGCCCCTTTAAATGGGGAATGTTAAGTGGAATTATTAAAAAACAAAAAGAAAACAAACAAAAATCACACCAGCCTTGTATGACAATTACGTTGGTGCCATTAAACCGCGGGTCTGGGTGTATAAAAGGAAAGATGGCCGCCACTTTTCAGTATGCAAATGACACTCAAGCGTGAAACATCTCTTCGGGGTGCTCCGCAAAATCACTCTTTTCGGCAATCTTAACGCCTGTGGTGCTTTATTTTCATGTCGTACACAAACATGAATATGTCCGCGATACAACTGCGATGTTAATTTACGAGTTCGGTGCGATGTCAGTGCGATTTCCGCGTAAAAGCGACGG